CCATCCTATAAGTGCATTTTGTGCTTGTTTGGACAGCATCAATGCAACTCCTTGTGTATGTGGTGCATTTTCTTCTTCATGGCCGGAGTATAACAGGAGCTCTCCTGTAGTTAGTCGTTGTTGTCCAACTCGTGTCCAATGTGTTTCACTGATCCCAAGTACCTCTAGGTTGTATCTTCTCATTTCTGCAGCAATCTGGAAGGCTCTTCCGGTGTCCCACATTGTACGAACATTCCATGTACCTAAATAAATGGTTGCTCTGGTTGTCAGAAGGGGCATCGGCCTCATAACTTCCGAAGGGATTCGGCTTTCATCATGAGGCGTCATAATTCTTCTAAATGAAGATCTTCTGACTCCCAGGGCAGAGTTTAAAAGGTTTGAATAATTTTTTCTGGTTAGCGTTTTTTTAGCGAGTTAGTTTTCTACGGGATGGGGACGCTAACCCCATGCCCAACCCTCCTCCTTTATCCGGGCTTGGGACCGGCAGTAGCCCCCGGAGGGACTCCAGGCGGAGTTATAGAGATTCATACTTCGAATCAATTACTGTCTACCTTCAAAATTTTGTATTTCTTAATTGTATTATACAATTTAGCTGAAGAGCTGATGACCAAATATTCGTATACGCTTCAATACACGTCTATAATCAACCTAGGCTGTAACCCAGTCTCTCACATCCCAATCCGTGTTTATTAGCCTTGTGTTTGAAGAGGCTTTTTAGCTTGACAATTGTTTTGGTAAACTTTCTGATACTTTTCCAATATTCCACCACACTTTCTTCAATTTTTGGTGTACAACAATTTGCTGCATCCACTTCCATTTTGTTTCTAACCTATAATCAACCTAGGCTGTAACCCAGTCTCTCACATTCCAATCCGCGTTTATTAGCCTTGTGTTTGAAGAGGCTTTTTAACTTCGCAATTGTTTTGGTAAACTTCCTAATACTTTTCCAATATTCCTCCACACTTTCTTCAATTTTTGGTGTACAACAATTTGCTGCATCCACTTCCATTTTGTTTCTAACCTATAATCAACCTAGGCTGTAACCCAGCCCGACCGTTGTTGCTACCTTGACGTGGTGGTCGGGCTTGCCTATCGTGATGAAGCAACCGAGCTATACTGGCTGGAACAACCGTTCCTCAAGGTCCTACCATGTCAGATAGGTCGGTTGAAGAGCGGTAAGACTAAAAGCAACAAACCCAAGGTCCGAAGGCGAAGTCGTACTGCTGACTGTACAGAGGTGTGACAGCAGTAAGGTGTTTCCTTCAGACAACCAGCATGACAGCGATGCTGCCTTCCCACAAGGAGGGGTGGGGTTAGAAAAGGTCGACCCTAAAAATGCACACCTCGCCTTATCCCACGGATATCCGTCTCCGGCGGTAAGGTCCCAATAAGTACGGAGCTAACACAAAAATTACCCATAACAAGGTCGTGTGTGACCGACCTCAATCAGTTGTCCCTTGGGCACTGCGGTCACGCTCTCAGGTCACTAAGACCACCTTTAATCCAAATTCCTTTTCAGGTACCTCCAGAACAACCCTTCCACGGTGTGGGCAACCGGGAAGTGAAAACCGCCCTCATACCTCTAACAGCACTCAAGACCACTGTATTCATAATCAACCTTCCTCTTCAATTCCTATTATTCCTCCTACATCGACTTTCAACTTTAAATTTCCTCTCTCGGCTTCCACCTCAAGTGTCACCATAGCCAACGATTCTAGTGCGCAAAATACTGTCCCAGGTCTACTGAAACCTCGCTCCAAACTACACATTGGAGCCTTCAACGTACGAACCCTATGTCAAATTGGTCAGCAGGCTTCCTTGGCTAAAACTCTAGAGTCTCTTACCATTGACGTGTGCTGTGTCTCCGAAACACGCATACAGGATTCCAGTGTGGTCATTCACTTGACCTCACCTCGGCAAAACGGAGAGCCAACGAGGTACACCCTTCGTGTATCTGGTGACCCGATGGCAAGTTCTCGTGGACTGGCAGGTGTAGGCATAGCACTAAGCATGAAGGGCCGAACAAGCACTGCTAGAGTGGATCCCCGTCAACAGTCGTCTATGTGCTGTTCGGCTGAACGGCTACGTAAGAACTCGGAAGGATAGGGACACACGTCGTTGCCTTTTTGTCGTTTCTGCCTACGCTCCCACTGACTGCAGCTCAGATGATGTGAAAGATGAATTTTACAGAAAGCTGTCCGAACTTCTTCAGAAAGCTAAACGCTCAGACATAGTACTCGTAGCAGGTGATTTTAATGCTCAGATAGGCAGTTTAAACCAAACAGAAAGGCATTTAGGTGGATATTTTAGTATTCCGACACAGCGAACAGATAATGGTGATCGTCTGCTGCAACTATGCTCAGACAATCGTTTATTTTTAGCAAACACAAATTTTAAGCATAAGGAGAGACATCGTCTAACATGGCGACCCCCTACACCAAGCCAACGATGGACTCAAATAGACCATATTGCCATCAGTCATCGTTGGAGAGGGTCGGTAGAAGATTGTCGCTCATTCTGGAGTACCTGCTTGGACTCCGACCATGCCCTAATACGGGCACGCATCTGCTTGCGCCTCACTGGACGCAAAAAAGCCACAATAAAAAGACCCATTAGAACTGATTTGAGCAACGAGAAAACCAAAAGTAGGTTCCAGGAACAACTGAGGTCACACTTAGGTAGTTGTGAAGACGAGGCTGACCCAGATGTTGCTTGGAAGGGCATACAATCAGCTGTGGAAACAGCAGTGACATCTATTAGTGACTTAAACCACAGAGTTGCAAGGAACCAGTGGATTTCTTCAAGGTCTGTCACACTGATGGATTCTCGCAAACTCGTCCCATCAGGTCCTGAACATGATGAAGAGCGAAAACAAATCAGATCTAGGTTAAGAAAAAGTCTAAAGAACGACCGTGAGCAGTGGTGGGTAACGAAAGCAAAAGAGATGGAAAAGGCGGCGCCTATAGGGAACACAAGACAGCTTTACAGACTAATAAAAGAAACTGGAATTAGTAAGTCAAGTGTAAGTGAGATTATTTCGGAAAAAGATGATACTCTCATCTGCTCCCAGTCCAGACGTTTAGAACGATGGGCGGAACATTTTAGAGAACAGTTCAGCTGGCCTTCAGCTACTCTACAACTACCCTCCATTCCCAGACAGTGTGAATGGAACATTGAAATAGGTCCCCCTACTCTTGCTGAAGTCCAAAAGGCTATAGTTAATCTGAAACGAGGAAGGGCAGCTGGTCCAGATGGATTGGCTCCAGAGGTCTTTAAGGATGGTGGTCCAATTTTAGCGATTAAGTTGACTAATATTTTAGCTAAGATCTGGGAATTAGACTTTATCCCATCTGACTGGTCACAATCACTTATCGTCCCAATATATAAGAAAGGGTCAAAATCATCCTGTGACAACCACAGAGGGATTAGTTTAACAAACATAGTATCTAAAATACTGGCCTCGATAATTATCAAACGCCTAACTAAGACTCGTGAACTACAAACTCGAGAGAACCAAGCTGGCTTTAGACCTGGTCGTGGCTGCATCGACCACATATTCACCATTCGTCAGGTTCTAGAACACAGGCATACCTATCGGCGTCCGACGATGGTGGTCTTTCTTGACTTAAAAGCAGCATTTGACTCGGTAGACCGCGAGACTCTGTGGCAGTGTCTGTCATTGAAAGGCGTACCTCAGAAGTACATAAACCTTGTGAAGGCTCTTTACTCGAACACTACTAGTCGAGTCAGAGCTTATGGCGAACTGTCATCTACTTTTGCAACCTCAAGTGGTGTCCGTCAAGGCTGTCCACTTTCTCCATTTTTGTTTAACTTCATCATAGACCTATTGATGGAAATAACACTCTCGTCGACTGAATTCTCGGGTATTGATCTCCTTCCAGGAGGTCCACTTATCGACTTAGAATACGCAGATGACATAGTCCTGTTTGGTGAAGACGCTGACAAAATGCAGAGTCTTCTGGTAGCACTAAGCAACAATGCCAGAATGTTTGGGATGCGCTTCTCTCCCTCTAAATGCAAGTTGTTGCTTCAGGACTGGTCTGCCTCAACACCTGAACTAAGGATAGGGAGTGAAGTAGTCGAACGCGTTGACAACTTCACTTATCTTGGAAGTCTGATCAGCCCTAATGGGTTGGTATCGGACGAAATCTCAGCACGGATTCGAAAAGCTCGTTTGGCTTTTGCCAACTTGCGTCACCTTTGGCGAAGGCGAGATATCCGTCTATCAATAAAAGGACGAGTATACTGCGCGGCAGTTCGTTCTGTTTTACTTTACGGCAGCGAAACATGGCCCTTAAGAGTAGAAGACACCCGTAAGCTACTAGTATTTGACCACAGATGCCTTAGAAATATTGCTGGCATCTGCTTGGATCACCGGGTAAGTAATAGCGAGGTTAGACGCAGGGTATTAGGGAATGATGGTAAATCAGTTGATGAGGTTATGAATCTTCATCGACTGAGATGGCTGGGCCACGTATTACGTATGCCTGAACACCGATTACCACGACGTGCAATGCTAACCGGGGTAGGGGATGGTTGGAAGAAAGTTGGGGGCGGCCAAACCAAAACGTGGCATCAGTGCCTGAAGTCACTAACTTCTAGTCTGAGCCACGTTGGTAGATGCAGACTACTTGGTTGGGGTCCGCGTGACTTTCGTAACCAATGGTTGGAGACTCTTGGGGACATGGCTCGGAATCGATCACAATGGCGTCGGTGTATACACTCCTTGTCTTCCCTTAAACTAAGAGACTAAAATCACTTCATTCTTTCTGTCTACGAACTAATTCTTTCTTCCTATACTATATCCTTATTGCAACCTTTGACCTAACCACTCCTATGAATCCGGTGTTCATCTTGCTGTGCTAATGAGGTATGGCAACCTGGACCGATGCACATATGTGCCTGGTCCTACGTTGTAGCTGACTGACTGACTGATAAAATCATGGTTCAAATAAATACTTTACTGAGAACGAAACTTGTTATTGTATATCTTTTATATATTTGCTAGAATGACAATTATATTATTATCAATCTCTTTATACTTTTAAAGAAACCTTAAAATGTAGTAAAACAGATATTCTGGCGCACAAAAGGAATAAAGGAGTGGAAAAGAAACGTTCAACGGATATTAATTACACTTTCGAATATATTTTGTCCATTACGTATTTTACAGATAAGTAAATTTGTGTGCATACGAAGAGAAATAGGGAATATCAGGCTACACGTTTTAACCGTAACCGGGGACAAAAAGCAACGAAGAATAATACCGACATACACACAAAAATAACAGAAAGATGGTAAACAAAAGCTAGCAAAACAAAATATAGGTTATCAGTATGAATGAATGTGTTGTTTTGTTAATATGGTGGGAAGAAAGCAATTCGAGAAAATAAACAAATAACGGCAGCGTTAGTCATGATCAAGAAGTATTTTGCTTCTCTGTTGTGTTAATAGGTTGATTGATAGAAGCGAAATGAAAAAAGAATGGCTTTAAAATGGACAGAAATCTGCTTATCTCTTTTCTATTTTGAAGTGTTTTATTGTAGAAAGAATGTAAACTGGAGGAAGCGGATAAAAATGAAATCCTAAATTCGAAAAAGAGGCATGACATCTAAATAGTAGAAAAATAGCACCTGGGTACATAAACAGATGTGAATAAATGAAATATCAATCGAACGTGTAATTGTTATGATTCATAATGGTTCAATAGAAGAGGATACGACTTTATATTGGAACAAAAATTATCTATCCTATGCAAATGTGTGTTATATTATTCAATTATTCCATCTAGAGAAAAACGTAATAGGAAAAAATACCGTCAATAACAACTTCACAAAAAATGCAAGTGAGATGGCTATTATATTCATATTACATTTTATTGAATAACACAAATGTGCTCATGAGTACATTTTTACTTGGATTCACTTATTCTCAATATCTGCATCAATTCAGCATATGACGTTAGAAATGGCGAGCTACATTACACATTTATTGCTTAGAAGAGTTAATCCTGCCCCCTGCCTCTATTTAACCAGTAAATAATTTTATTTGAATACAGTAAGTTAAACTCATATAACTTTCTTACCCGTAATCATACTGCTTCATAAGATGTGCTTGTTTTCAAATATTCTGCATAAATACTTACCTGACGACAGATTTCGTGAAACAGTTCAGAAAGTTTACCGTTTCTCGTAAAACAAATGTTTTAAAACAGAGCGATCATTCATGACTAAATTTTATTTATTGAAAAGAAATAAACTACTGATAACTTTTTATTTTTTCTAGTACGTATTTTGCTTGGAGGATTTCACTGAGTAGTTGTCAAAGGACCGTTCTATGTTGTATTTTAGTGCATGATGAACATGATAGTTTTGTTCAGTAGTTTTGTTGTAAATGCTGAAGTGATAACTTCGTCAGTTCGTTGATTTGACATGAAATCTAATGATTTTAGACTAGTAACTATCGTTAATGTAAGAACTTCCAAATTGACAAGATTCTGTTGGCCTTCTTAGAATTTTCTCACATATATCCACACACGTCCAAAGTTTTTTTTCCGTTAAAGTCCTAGTTAAAACCTTCATATGACAATTGAAATTAAGCAAATATCTGGAAATATGAACTGAATTAATCTACTCAAAGTTGCTAAGTAGTTTTAGTTAGGTGAATGGTGTTGATGGTCATATATTAAAAACCATTACACTTTATCACAATCCGAATTAACTTTGGCATTATCATACCTGTCTATTAATAAAATATTGGTTTTAAATTACTATGATCCAAATAGATTTGTACATTTTGCAGGAATGACAATATTCAACAGTTCTACTTCATATTTTGTTATCACTGAATGATTTATTGTACTTGCTATACATACTATAAGTAATCTTGAGGTTTCTCAATGTGTTTAAATAAATTGGAGATCTTTGTTCAATCAGTCATAAGATATTGTAACATCGTCTATAACATCTTGAACACGTTTTAGGCACACTGTTTCAACATCATACCTAGAACTGCTTTCTAAAAGTCCGACTGAGTGGAACAAACAGAAAAGCATTTAAATTAAAACCATCATAGAAATGTTATATTTATTAAGGTTTAGTTTCAGTCACTTCAACACAACTCCTTAATAAGGTCCAAAAAATCACTAGTAATCCTGTTGTAACTTTTATGTTCTTTAGAAATACTGTGAAAAATATCTAAGAGGTATGCAATTTATCATAAATGTATTTTAGATAAATTCTACTCTTGCTTTTGTTGCTATAATCATTATTATTTAATTCTTCCACACATGTTTTTCCATTTGTTTGTATCCTGCTCGATTGAAACCAGCATTTCAGAGTTAGGAATGAATGCATTCTACATTATGATCATTTATCCTATGTTAGATACATATTCAACTTCTCTATATGCATTAAGCATAATTCTTCAAATAAAAACTACTGACAACTTGTCTTAAAACTAGATTAATAAGTCAAGAAAAAAAGGCACATGTTTAAAGATCGATTATTTCAAACAACCTCTCATAAAATAATAACACTACAATTAATCAACTTGAAGTAAAACACAAGAGAGACAAGAACAACATACCATAAGATTCATTAAAAGCTTCTTCAAATGACACAGAACTTCATGAATAATAATTATTATGAATTAAATATTGCGTCAGCAGATGCTTTGTACACAATAAATAGTTTGGTTGATAATTCTATCCATCGCTTTCATCAGTTTGTCCAATTTTTTTGCCTATCAATTTTTATCACTCTCATTATCACTAACAGCATCGAAATTTTTTATCTTGTTCGAATTCTCCACTTTATTTTGTGAATTCTCTTCAATTTGAAATGTTTCCATACTTGACTTCTTCTCATTGTCGACCAATGAATTTTGATTATAAGGAAGATTGGATAGACTACTAGCCAACATCATCATATTATTATCACTGTCATATGTTGTATTGACTTGTAAATCACCCGGTAATGAGAATGTTGATAAATCTGAAGAATTATAATACAAATTTTGAATTATTGGTGAACTGCTTAAACTTTCATAACCTGATGGATAAAGATTTGTTATTGTCACTGCTGAAGTTGGAGCAGTGAACTCATCACTAATGACAACAGGATGACGTTTCATTTTTGACTTTTTTTTACCATGTCTCCGTTTAACACTCTTATGTGTCAATAAATTAACGTTTGATGATACATTTTCATTTGGATAAATAATGTTTGTATTGTTATTCTTTGTTTTATTTTCTTTAGAATTTTTGTTCATTTTAATCAATGAATTGTCTAACAATTCATGTTTTGGTGAAAAATTATCCATAGCTGATGATGGTGAAGTATCTTGACTGGGGAAATCAGCTTCTGTTAATACCGAATGAACTGGAATATTACCAGTATCAGGCAGTCGAAATAATCCTGGACCACTACCTCCACTAATATTAGTTGAACCCGATGAGACGGTAGTAGATTTAACACTGAACTGCCATACACCACGATTACTGTTAACACTTGACAATTGTGGTAGATTGGTAGAACTTTTATCTGCATTCCAGTTAGTTTCCTCATCCTGAAATATAACAACAACAAGAAATACGGAACAACTCGAGGTTTAACCACCCCCCAAAAAAAATAAACAACTAATCGAAATGTGAAAATTAACCGGTTGTTTTTGTGTCCTACTTTCAATAAGACTAAACCACATTTAAGACATAAGTATACACAATTTCTACTATTCTCTCGTTAAAATTATTATTCCATTAAATAGATCAATATGGAAAGAAAAAAACAAAAACGAGAACTCTACCTTATTTACTAATCGACTTAGTTTAAACTGCTGTTACTTTTAAATAATGTACAATGAAGCTAACAATGGGCAGAAAAAATAAGACATTAAACGCCAAAGGAAGAAAATATACAATGAAATAAATAACTGCAAAGTGTGTACCATATTCAATTATTCGGTGCTTTGTATTCAACTTTAGAAAAGTAACTGTTCCAATAAACTGATGTAAAGAAAAAGTTGAAAGTCATCACATATAATTTTTTCTTATATATATGCACTTGTCAGTAACATATACCTGTACTACTAAGGGAACTGATGTTCTCTGGAGGATTCAATTCTGTGTCACCAAGCTTTACAGTCATAGACGCTATATTGAGGTATTCGGGCTGAGACTGACCTCTTGTAGGAATGAGATGTACTTTGTGTTGATTGATGACTGAGTAGTGATTAGTGTCGTGTATCTCAACTTGATCGACAAGATTCTATCAGGACTAAGGACGACTTGATATTGGAGTGTTTTTAGCATAAAAAGCACTGAATCACCAATTCAAATATACAGTTTTTTGGGCACAAACGTAGGGACCATATACTTGGTCAATTACAAACAGCTGGAGAGTTTTAAACTTGAACGTTATGCCTAACAATAGATCACCATATTCAAAACTGCTTAAATTTTCTTTTTTAAGCAGAATAACAAGTCTCTTGTTACGTGTATAACTTTCGTTAATGGTGTTATTGTGTGTCAGATATGAGGATTATTGGAATTCCCACCCCCAGCCCTCAAAAGAAATAGCACAATTGAAGAGCTTTGGAGTGAAGAGAAATGATGGTTAGATGTCCTTAAAAAATTAATAAAAAAAACTTTAGCAGTGCAGAGAGCCACCTTTCCTCTCAAAGCTGCAACAATACCGTTCATTAACAATGAATTTACTGTTTATTTGTTGATTATCTTGAGACATAGTTCCTCTAAATGTCCGAAGAAACCCTGACTAGTGGAGTCAACTAGTTCGATAATAATGGTGGACATTACTAATGGTAAAAGGTGTTCACAGTAGAGTATGAAGAGTTTCGAGTTGTAAAACCTCATACAATTGATTTCAAAACGTCAGTTCAAATATTCCCCACCAACCACAGAATTCACAGGTACACGGTCCTATTTGAGTAACAATAGAAAACTTAAGGTAAATTGTTATATCCTAGTGAAGATTAAACTATAGATAACTTCCGAGACCTATTAATGGACTAATATTATGTATATATTCTTATTGTATGACTATTCAGTAACTAGATTATGTATATCTATATGTTACTCTTATTATAATCTTCATTTTGACCCATAGATTATTATTGTATGATTTACCGTTCTTAAATTATGTTCAATTTATTGATTACAGTCTCCCACGTTCACAGCCACTTTTTGGCTTGATCTTGTATAACTGCTATTTCCTATTTTATGGTGTGATATGGTCTGTTTGGTTGGTATATAAACCAAGTATGTTTGAAATAAATGACTGTCATAGTGGAAACTGGTGTTGGTGTTCTGGACTGAATTGTGAGGGCCAGGATGAAAAAGGACCAATAAGGACGCTAGGCTGCTCATACCTATCGAACGTCATTGTTTTGGCACAGTACCAAGACTGAATAAGTCGTATTTCGATTGGCGAACAAATCACGCGATGATTAGTCAGGCTTAAAATTACAATATAAAGCAACTAGAAACATCTAAGTGCTTCACACAATTATAGTAGACAATTAGACAGTTTCATACACATAGTTCCCTTTATCATTTTGAAAAGATCAAGACAGTTCAAGCCAACAGTAAATTAAATCGTAACAGGAAGCAAAAGCATTACTCAAAGGTTAATTTATGTACAGTGTATTTATAGTTACGCAAGACCTTAGGCTTCTAGAAATTTCTGGAGCCATAGCAAATAGTAGCAGTGCAGGTCAACATCCAGCCAAAACTGTTACATAATTCTTTTTTGAGTGTTTCTGAGATGATTCTATTCAATACTAATTGATTATAACGTCTTCTAGTGCTTCTGGGACTTTAGCGATGTTGACGAGGAATATTTTGGGGACTCTTCCAACAAATATCTAATTAAAAATTGATTAGTGACTGATATCCTGAAAACCTTATATATATATATATATATATATATATATATATATATATATATATATATATATATATATATATACATATATACGTCAGCTGAAACTAATGCTGAAAATCTTTCTTTCTTCCCAGTTTTAATTCAAATACAACATATATAAATAAATGAAGTTTAATAACAATCAAGAAAACAATAAAATACCTACTTGTATAGCTTCAGCAATCGACTGAGCCAAATCATCTGTACCGCGACCAACTAAACTAGATAAAGAACTACCCAAACTTGAGTCTTGATAACTCCCTTTTTCAAAGTAGGAATAGAAAACAACAGATAGTATGGTAAAGATGCATTATGACTGATAATTAATTATTAAAAAACCAACCAACTTTCAGTTACATAGCAGTCTTAGTACTGAAATAGATATAAAGTACAAGTAATAAAAACCCTTTTCATCCCCAAAAGATAATAACGATTAGGATATGCTGATATCACGAACCGACCTAAGTTAGATATCCACTGAACGTGTCGGCATTGAGGCAGGTTTCCACTGAAGACCATGAAAGAAGGTCAAATAATATCGCTAACTGATTGAAGTTAGATACAGACAACACTAGATTTTGGTTCAATGGTCTAAAAGTTGAGCACTTGGGCGCGAGATCGCAAGTTATGTACCTGATTCCCGGCGCTGTTGTGGATGCCCACTGCCGGAGAGTCGCATACTACGACGAGACGGCTGTTCAGTCCTTTATAGTTTCTAATGATTGTCAAAATTAAGTTTGGTCGTGATATCAATAACAGTCAGTTGTCTGCATAAACCTCCTCCATACTAATTACCACCAAATTACCAATTACAGATATGACTTCAATATATACTACTACCATACGACCATCAAAACAAGTTGTTCAAGTGAAATTTATTTAATTATTTTAGATCTTTTTTATGTATAAAAAACTAGTAGACTGGCAAAAAGAGTGTAAATCTGTTGTTTTCTAATGAATTTCTCTGATGTGAACAACAAATAACTTTCTAATTAGACAATACAACTCAAAGTAACTACAAATTGACCGAAAAATAGATTTTATAACAGAACCAACAAAAACAAATTCATATCATAAACTAAATGAAATATATGCAAAGATGGATGGTGGCTAGCAATGGAATTCAGGACGCCAATAATAGACTGATCAATTGCAATCCTAAACATCAATGAGAAGATTCAAACAAACAATACAACATGAATTAAATAAAATATAGAAAGAAAAAAACATCCAGACTAAACATTAGAACTTTCTAGCACCAATAGTATACTCCCAGAGCTGAAAAATTGTTTTTAATGAAAGCGATTAATGTGAATTTTAAAAGTTACTCCGAGTACGAAGGAAAGAACTATAAACATATTTACTAAGAATGGAAAATCATTTCACACTTTATTGTTACATAATTTGGATGTTACACTTTATAGGAAAAAAAGTAAACAGTACGAAATATTGATCTATTTATTATTTAACAATACATAATTCATTATGTATATTTACTGAAAATATTAAAAATTGCAGTTAACAACTTATAAATAATGAGACCAAAAACATTCAAGAAATTAGATAATTTCTTTCAAACGAATTAATTGTATTTATCCAATAATTTAATTATGAATAGATTTGCATCTAAGCCTATTCACTTTGTTTTAAATAAACAGCTGATATCTATCATTTTCATATAACATGTAATTCAAAGTTTAATACACTTAACTAGTTAAGTGAATTCACCTTACCTTATTAATATGAAAATTATTATTACTTACAAAATCTGAATAATAAAATTGAGATACCAAAAGAAAGTAACATAAATGGGCTATAAAGTTAACTGCAACAATTGTAACGATTACTTCAAAAACAGTACAATAAGAACAGACACATATAGCATAATACAAAGATAGATTCTAGCTGGTATAACTTCGATATGGAAATTCTCTAAACAAACAAGTGGAAACCAAAGCAACTTACATAAACCGATAGCGATTGTTCAGTGACTGATTCTAAGAATTGGATTCAAAAATAGCTTAGCTATTAAAAAAAAAGCAAATAATTCAACTGAAATCTACAAAATGTCTGGGTCATTACTCTTTTAATAACTGGAAAATCGAAGCTTTAAAAACCTGAATATGATGAAAGGTATAAAATCTATGGGAAATTCAATCTACATCAATGAATTACAATCGGGAGGTAAAAATAACAACTTCCAAATGAGTGAAGTTGGACATGTGAACATAATGAATGAGTTCTAGATGATAGGTGGATGGAGTAAATTTAACACTATTAGCAGGTTATTACGGAATGTTAACTACTTTTCAGTATCTACTAGCAATCACTCAGCAAAAATTAATCTGAATATATTTGTTACCACTTATCATCAATATAACGCATGTTTATAATTGAGTCAAAAAGGATTTGTTAATAAAGACTCTGAATGTGATGCTAAATTAAAGAATGTTGGAATATCAGAGTAAAAAGATTTTCATCTAAAGTCCAATAACCTTGATTCTATGTTAGTCACCTGCAAACATCTTATATCAAAATGAAAGACCGAAAATAATAAAAATTATCAAAACAATCACAACTTACCACCTTCAATTACAATCGCCTCACCACTTGGTCCAAAACCACCAGCAATACTAAGTGGACGAGTTGGTTCACCTGACGAATTACGCCATCTTAACTGTGCACTGTTGAAATTAGCATTTGAATCCAACAATAAACCTGATGGTAGCCTTGGTAACATAATTGTTTTGGATGAAGTGGTATTACGATTAATTGCGGCCAAAGCGATATTTGGATGATGTTGAGGATGCGGATGAATAAAAGCATGAACAGAGGAAGTAGATGTTGAAGAAGAACCTTGATATGGAATCATATTTAAACTACTATTGGAACCATGTGATGATGGTATGAATGTGCCAGGATACCGATCTTTAATTAATAATTCATTAGTCATATCTACTATAGGCGGCAATATAAACGGTGCATTTAATGTGAATGCTTCTAAAAGAGTAGGATGTAATGCTGTTTTTAGACTTCCTCCAGTGGAGCCAATTTGTGTGGTACTAGGTATATTGTTATTATCTGAAGAACTACAACTATTGAATGATGAAAGCCGTAGATCACAACCACTCCAATCACGCTGAAGCACATGATATTCAAGAAAAATAACAATGACAGATAAATTACCACCATTAGAAAAAGGTTAATAAAATATACGCCCTACAAAAAAAATATATATGATCTAGAGAAAAAGCCATCCATTCAAAAACACATGAGACTCAATTACAGATAACCAAAGGTCTTGATTTATACACCTTCATATATAAGTTGTTGTATTAAACTAATTAATTATCTCATTGAGAACAAAGAATCAAGTTAGATAACAAATCTATACAGGTAAATAAAATCAGAACTAACATGAAAATAACGAATTTCAAAAAGTAAATAAATGAAAACAAATATTGAATCTGGATTGAGATTGATATGAATTGTACAAAATTTACAAGTTGAACAAAATAATATACACAAGATTAAACAAATTATTGCGATAATACGGACACCACTACTATGTTCAAATAATCGTTCCTCATAATTTTTATATGACTGTAAAAGTTTATTTGTAAAGTTGAAAAGCAAATTCAAATCGACAAGTAGATAGGAGTAGTTAGTAAAGAAATCCTGGCAACCAAGATAAGCATATTTTGAATATTTAAAAATGTACCAAATACATATGAACACCAATGGTAAATGTCTAAGACACAGATGACATTCGGAACTAGAAATAATGAAAATATAGAATTGACTAAAATGGTTACACTGTACTATAACGCAAGAAATTGATCATCACAGTAAATGAAATGCACAGGTGTATTGCATTTGCAGACCGATATGTGGTAGGGAAAGTAAAACATGATTGGTCGTTGAGCGTGGACAAAATAGAAACGGTTAACTGACTATTAAATATGTGATTTCCTTTCATTGATTTCTGATCTGGACTGAGTGTGACTACTTGTACTTGTACTGAATAATTTGGTTCTCTATTATGGATCGTAAATCATGGTTCTGATATAACGTGATTAGTCTCATTATCGTAATACGCGTGAGAGTAAAAAATATTTTAAGCATCTGTTACATCACAAACAATATAAAGAAAAGAAATCGCAATTATAAAGGAGACATGTATTGATGACTATAAGACAAACACTAGAATTTCAGCCAGTAAATAGCTATTCCTCGTGCAAGTACTTCACATGATAAGAAACTAGATCATCTTTAAAAATCACTTGAAATAAATCAGATCCATAGTGATACAAAATCAAATGTGAATAACATGGATTAAAAGTTCCTTGGGGAGACCATAATCCATAGAAGAGCAAATCAGACTAAAGATAGTAGGTCTTGGATTTTAGCGCCAGATTCATCAATTCATTTGGTTAAATAGCATTTTGGCATTATAGCTGATGTCAGTTCGTGTTGAAAACCCCAACTGTAATTTCTAACCCTAACTTCCACCAGTTGATCCCAATCCTAATTCCTCACACAAATTTATAACCCTCAATTAGCCTTAGTAAGTAGGTGGACATTCTCAGGGTCATTTAAGCATTACTAGGCCATAAATAAATAATACCCTCACTAAAATGTTTGATATTTTAGCATATCCGTAAGTAGTAGTAGTAGTAATAGTAAGGTAGGTAATTATAGTCATCATTTGAATTCGATTAATTTCAAAATAATAATATAATATTTAGACATTGTTAACCTACAGTAATATACGAAGTAGGTGGGATAAAAGAGATATTCAAAGAATAACTTACAAAACCGGAGTTGAATCCCCCTATTTCTTGACACCATTGTTATATTTAAAGTACAAATAACTGTATACATTTCTTCAATGCGATTATAAAATGAAATGGAAGGTTATAACAGTAACTATGTATTAATTCCTGGCATTGATTAACCGACTTCATAATTTAATGTGAATAATCATCACCGTCATTTAGCCACGCATTAAAACTAAAAGATCACTAGGCAAGTAGAAACACTTTGATACCTATTAGGTTTAAGATGAGAGCAGCATAAATTCATTACTTAGAGATTATGAACAATATATCATAGTTTTTAATCTTGCATTTTCATCAGTTCAAGTGAGAAAGTTTATCTGATTCAAGGGAATCATATTTCAATAGCAACTGAACCTAAACATGAAATCCAATGATCTTGATCATCAGCTTTAGTATTAAAACTAGCAAAAACAAACGAATGTATAATAAGGTCAAAATGCACACATTTCAAGTTACAATACATATTATTTTGATATATATATATATATATATATATATATATATATATATATATATATATATATATATAAACAGTTCCCAGTTATTTAAGTTTCAAGTTATAAAAAGAAATGAATAACAATAGACAGTCGTCATAAGGAGTGTTAAATTTCGAATGTCTTTCTAGTATTTAAAATATACGACTAACAAATAAAGCAATCGCTAATGAAAAATAACTATAAGTATTATTAAAAGAACCGCTGACTAGCTTGACTCTCATTGGTCAGCATAATATTTTGTTTTTTCTATTAATTATGGTTCTAATGACCTTGAGTAGGCTACTGAATAAACATATATCTACATACATATGTGAATGGTACAACCTTCAATGTAAAGTTGTCATCTCATCAATCATAACTGACCTACATGACACTGCTACTGATTAATATGGTAGGTTGAGTATATTCTATGTGACCACCATGTGACCTATTATCAGAACTATAGCTCTTTATAATCGATCTGAAAAGAAGTGTACACATTGCATAAATATATGTTCTGAAAAACAGCATGAACCTCTAATAAATTGTGATTTATTCTTACTAGAAATTTTTTTAATATAAAAAAATGAAATGGATTATCTGGTCATGAATTTGATTATCAATATGTAAAACGTCAACTGTTTAATTAAATAATAACACAATGATTCAAAAAAACATCAGAGATCAAATACTTGCAATTATCACAGGTAACACAGTTTCAACATTTTCAAGTTATATATATTGAACGAATGAAATTAATAATGATCATGAAATGTAAGAGAGTATTAATATCACTTGTTTTATACATACATTTTATTTTTGATAATAAAAAAGGATTTACGATGTGACATGGTCATATTTTAACTAGTTAGAAAGGTAGCTATTTTGATATGTGATATTTGAATTTCGACAAAAAGAAAATGATTACTATAATGTTATAATTAATAATCACAGACTATACATCTATTCACAAATCAGCATGACATTAATGTTTTATCAGACTATTTCAAACAAATAGACAATATACAAGTAGAGTACGATCTGAAGTAAATAACAATATTGATGAAAAATGTTACAAGTTATAAAGGCATAGAAAGATATAAAAACCAGAAAGAGAGGAAACATAAATGAAGAAAAAAGTGAAATAAATAATATGGAAATCAGAAAAAAAGATATAGAATGAAACAATTTAAGACCTGAATATACAAATAATTAGATTCAATTAGCAATAATCCAACAGACATTGAAGATATTTTGAAAACTTACAGAGATTTTTATAGCAACAGTTTTATATCTGATAGATTAACCGTTAGTTAAAACTCATCCATAATTTGATTTTTTTCGAATATTAATTATTTAAAAATAAAATGTAAGAACCTTTGAGTTACTGCTTTTTAAAGAGATATACTTATCACTAAGGTGTCTCTAGTATCTTTACTTATTCTATTTCAAAAAATTGCAACACTAGTGCAAGTATGATTGCCAAGTTTTGAGTTGATAATTGCAAATGAAATGAGCATTGGGTAGATTGTTAATAAAAAAAACAACGATATATTTATAATATCCTAATGAGTAGAAAAATTAAAATTTTCTGTCGTTTCGTAACTCATTGTAAGCCACTTTCTTCAGAGAATAAACAAATAAGCAAATTAAACTAAACCAAGCTTTTTAGAGCATTGATGGTTTCATTAACGGGAAAGCTTTTTAATTAAGCTTATAACAGAAAATACAAGTCATTAGTTTATGTTAAGGTGTATGATAAATCAGCTAGTACTTAGTTACTACCTATTATAAGTGGTTCGCTTAATTCATTTATCTCCTTAGTTTACAATCAATAACACATTCTTATTTAGTATAGTATGCAACAAATCAACATTTAACTTTATTCATTCTAGAGAATCATAACTAAATGCCCATCAGAAGGTTTATACGCCTTTTGGTAAACTTTTCAGTAAGAAACACTATCATAATAGCAATATTACTAGTCAATGAAGTGAAAGAGATTCAAGGAAATATTTAGCTGTAAATAAACTGAGTAATTAACTAAGTAACTCCATTTTAAACCTAAAAACAGAAGATGGTGACTTACTACATTTAAAAACAGCACAACTAATGGGAGGTTGTGAAAAAAAGAGTAATGTGAAAATTGAGTATTCTTTGGTGAATTGGTTTGAGAATTTTCTGATCAAGTATTCATTAAAACAATTGTTTTGCAATCTTTTTTTAAAAAATAGTTTACAGTATAACTTGTCTTTTGGTTGATTAATTTTGCCATTTTTACTATTCATCAGCTAAAATTAATTAACTATAAATTTACGACTCAAGCTTTGTATCAGAAATACTCAAGTTATGTACTTCTCATTATTTTTGAATTGTGATACTTTGTGAACTTGTGTGTTATTAATAAAACTACATAAATGTACTGTAAATCATTCATTTAGGTCTCTAGTGTTTTGAACGGTTTAAGAATGACAGAATTCCTGTGGCCTAGGGGCCATGTGTGACGAACGAAATACGTTTATAGATTTATCGCTAGAGGCGAAGAAAAGATACAGCAGAAACTTAGCAGGTAGAAAAACCAATATTTTGAATAAGAAAGAAACATAAAGAAGAATGTAAAGGAAAAAGATTTTCCACTGTTGAGAGTTGAGTAAGTAATAAATTTATATGCTCCCTCTTAGCAGTCACCAACAGCTCTTCGTAAAAATTAAATTACGCAACTACTAATAGCCACCATATTTAACTCAGAGTTTCTTATACAACTACTTGATAAATAGTCGACGTGTCTGATTTACAATCAAATAAAAGTACGCATGTTTACGGTGAAAAGAACACTGTGAGTGTACAAACGGTCATTAATCAAATTTATGTAAAACTTAGTCTCCATTCATTGCAGTAGGTTAATCTGAGTTATTTCTAATTCATTGGAACTTTATCACAGTTAATAGTATGAATGTATGTGGTTTACTTGAAAAGTATAATTTGTATTTATCCTATTAAAACATAACATTTTACATTTCGAACAAAGGCTTGAATAACTCGCTTTTTAGTACGAAGACTGAATTTATGTTGTGATGAAAATTTTCAATCGCATCAAATGCAGTTAATTTTTTACATTAAATGAACAAATAAGCATAATTTTGGAAAAATAACAACTGCTTACTTGTTTTGAATAAGTGTGAAAAGTAAACTGTGGACCCATCCAAACACGACGTAAAGGTCCTAAATGTGTAGTTATTTCAACTTGACTATACCAGTAAGAAGCAACATCTTCAGCAGTCCATCCAGCAGGAGTGACGACATTATCATCTGTATCATCTTCATCAATATCATTCTTGTTCTTATTACTATCATTATTATTATTATCTTCGGTGTTTGTTTTTATTTCTAACAATCCAGATTTCACTTGACTGCTATTAGCTGGAGGTAAACTGGATTTCAACGTTGATATAACTTTTTCGTAATTTGTAGATCTGGACGACAGATTGTTATCAGATTCTAATGAAATTTCAGTTCGACCATCCACTATAGAAATGTAATTTGAGAAAGAACAAACGTTTTGCAATGAATATCCGGATAGTAAATACATGTGTATGTAAACATACATATTCGCCGACACTACAATTAACTAATGTATAATTTAACATAGGTTTAAATGGCAAAATATAGGAAAAAAATTCCATTTGTAAATCAACTTCGATTTCATGTTTTTGGACTAGAAGAATAATCTATGAGGAATAAAAATTAACATTTGAGGCATAATAACGCCAAATACCTAATTATAAACCCAAGAGATTCAAGGATAATATCTCCTCAAAATTCTCTTCTCAAACTACTGTAGCAAAGCATTAGATTTGAAAAAGTTAAAAATCTCTAAATTTACAACTGAACATAACTGTTTAATTAACATAAAGAACTGGGTATGATTAAAGAAGTTTCAGAAAACAAGCTAAACCATTAGATGATCATAAGTATAGTGGTTTTCAGAAATATGAGGTAGTTTTAAGTTAAATAGGAAAACCGGTGAAGTGTAAGCAAATAAGACCTATATAGAAATAAGTACATAATGAAAAAGACCACATGTTACACTTTCAATATATAAAGTAATAATCCAATTTAAGAGATAATTATCGAAATAAAATACATATAGACCTATTAAGTGATAGCTAAGAATAAGATGGCTGAAGAAAAATGACAAGAATCTATGAAAGTAGATCTCCGCGCTGGTTGGTCGTCATTCATAAGCATGATACTTTATAATCTTGAAGGAATTTATACTTCCGAACCATATGTTACCGTTAAATATCACTTTTACTGAACCAATCAGTTCATCAAGGGCTTTCAAAAAAACACATAATTAGGCTAGCTGGTAGTTAATTAAGTAGTAAGAAATATCATTTTATTATTCTATATCCAGTGATGACTTAGTTCTGAGGAACACGGTAAATTATTGAAATCGTCAAAGGTGAAGAATATGTAACAAACGTTAAACTAAAAAAATATTGAACATTCTAAGGTTTGTTCTTATTTACGAACTCGATCAAAACATATTCACACTGCCTAAAAAGTCATGTTTGGAAACTTATCTAATATTGTTGTTAGACAACTACTCAGTTCGTAAAGCACATATAAGATATATCTAAATTATGGATCATGCACTTTGTATAGAGGTTAACAATATATAGCTTTTACAGTATATACAATCTGGAAATATTAAATAATCTACTAAATACTTTATATAAACGAGTGATAATTCAGTACACAAATAATTCACAGATCTAAGTAAGATACGATGCAGTAACCTGTTAACAATAAGAATCATTTAATCTCAATAGACAGAAATATAGCATACTAAATTGGATAAAATATTTAGTATCAATTAATTTAATGAATAAATCTGCTTAAAATTTAGTATTACTCTTTAAATTTGAAGCATAGTCCGATTTAAGCCTATTTGTTTTACATCTTGCTTGAAGTGTAGACGAGGCTAAAATAAGTGGATGCTGTCTAGGAAATGGAGGCAGGTACACAGCATCTGTATGTAAATTCCATTCGCCAACAGATACACAATCTAGACGAATTGAACCATCCTACAAATGAAGGGGAAAATATTAGGACATAATAAATAAGAACAACCTTATGCACAAAAATAAATTAAAAATTATTTGAAATGGATGCTGTTTTACGTAAATTTTAAATGAGCACGGAAACAATATGTGTTTATTTCATCATGATGGAAGCCGTAACACAAGTGGAATCTCAATCACAATAAACTAAGAATCAAATAAGGTCAGTATGTGCACTTCGATTAACGAGTTTTTTTTAACTAAAAACAAAAGATAACTATATTTTGATAATAGATTAAGTTTATTTGCTTGTAATATTTACTAGTTCACAAACCAACTTCAGAATCGTAGATATTCGTGATATATTTGAAAAGGTCTCTTTTTGGGCCTATTATGAAAGAAAAATGTGTTTTCACTATGAAGCATTATAGTGTTTGGGGTAAAAGTCAATCATAGAATTCACAAGTATATAGCAACACGACACATCAGAAATAATCGAAGCCTGAAAATCGAAAAAGATCTCTAGTGAGAATAAAACTAGTGGTATTTTCAAATTTAACTTGCTATATGACGTAGTCTGGAAACTTGAATCTTAGTGACTAAGACAGGATTTAAGCCCCTAAGTGCACGCATTATTATTATTATTAATGGCTTTATTCAATATTATATTTTGGTACAATATATAATTCTCAGCACAGGGTATTTCAACAAGTTACTTATGCAAACAAAAATAGTAACAAAGACAAAAAAAGTTTTTTTTAAAAAAAAAAATCTGAAAAACAGTACAACATTTAAAATTAAAGTCATGTTAAGAATGCAGGTTATTGGCTAGACTAACTCTAACAACCTGTTCGTCACAGAGTATATTTGCTAGATAAGGTATTATAGAACATTTGTACTTTTGCTTACGTGCATGGATTTTAATGTAATTACGTCTCGTTCTACCAGAAGATATACAAGGAGAAAGATAAGAGTGAAGGGGATGGCTAGTATCTGATAAAATGACACCTGCCAGGAGTTTGCATGATTTTAAATGTCTATCCACAACCATATTATTTATGACCTCGAAATATTCACCACACACCTTGCTAACTGCCTTCAGCACTCTTCACAATACAGCAAAGTCTTTTCTCAAAAGCCCGGGAAAGAATAATGGAGAACAGTAAAGAATAATAGGTAGTATGCAAGAATCGACAAATTGTAAGAGTAAATGACGAGTAATTCCAAGAGCATGCAATCTCTTTATGTAATAGGTCAGACGGAAAACCTTCTTCGATAACGATAAAACGTGGGAAGACCAAGACAAATCAGAGGAAAAGGTGACACCAAGATAATTGACCTTCGACACTGAGTTTATCAAAGAGTCTCCGATGGAACAAGCACTATGGGATCTCAAAATAGTGTTTATATTCCGTTTATGTCTCATGCTAAAGTTAACAGCTTGACATTTAGACGGATTAAGTATGAGACCATTACCAACAGACCAACAATCAATGCGAGACAAAAACTCATTCATTTCTATGGGATGTAAAGAGGAAGATATAGGCATACATACAGTGAGGTCATCCGCATACTTCACAAAAGTGTTTTCTGTGGAAGATGGCAGATCATGCAGAAAAAAAAGAGAAAAGAAGAGGTGAAAGAACAGCTCCTTGTGGTACACCTTCATGAGACAGTAGAGACTCTGAACTCTTTCCTCCAAACACAGTGTATTGTTCCCTTCCAGAGAGGTAGGAACATAGCCAGTTGGTTATCCAGCTGTCAGTGTTGACGCTGATTAACTTGTTAAGTAAACGTTGTCTTGGTATAGAGTCAAAAGCTGAAGTATAGTCCAGAAAAGTACATCGAACATACTTCTTACCCTTTTCTGAGTTGAACACTATGTTGTGATGCAGAACTGCAACAGCATCTAAAGTGCTTCTTTTGCGCCTGTATGCAAACTGGTATGGGTCAGTATGCTCTTTTATCGCAGGCTGAAGTGGAAGAATTAATAATTTTTCCATGGTTTTGAGGAAGGGTGAAGTTATTGCAATAGGTCTAAATTTTACATTCTTATCACCAAATGCTTTCTTGGGTACAGGAATTATCTTCATCTTTCTCCACATTTTCGGTATGAGATTAGATGAGAAGGATCTGTTAAATATAGTTGTGAACGGATGACACAGAACGTCAGCACATTTTTTAAAAAGGATGTTTGGGATACCACCAGGTCCCAAACATCGAGATGAATTAAGCGACTGGAGACATCCTCGTACATCAGTTTCAGTGAAAGTAGGAACACAGCTAGTTTTTAAACCCGTGGATAGAGGGAGCATCACATCAGATGACTGACGTACAAAAGACTTATTTAAGTCACTAACATTCAGCTGGTTATCAATTCTAAACTTTCTGTCACCTGTAAGTTCTTTAAAGAATTTCCACATACTTGGAGAGTTTTTGCAAGATAAGAGCTGTTGAGTAAACATACAGTTGAGACGTCTAATCTCTAGGTTTATCAGACCATTTAGTTTACGAACTTCTCCTTGTACATGCTTTCTTTCATCCTTCGTAGTCGTTTTAGTTGTGAAGATGTAAGTCGATCAAAACTTACAAAAATGGTTTCGGTGGGACAACAAATATCAAAACAGAATTTAAGGTAACAAGTGATAACATCAGTAGTGTTTTCGAGTGAGTCATCTGTAAATAATTCCCAGTTAGTCGTATGAAACATGTTTTTCAGATTTCGGATATTTTCTTCTGTGTAATTCCTATATTTGACTTTTCTGGTTTGACGTAGGAGTGTATTCTTCCCATGCATTCCATATACTTTAGGTAGAACACGAATTATACAGTGATCTGAGCTAGACAATGGAGCACGTTTACGAGTCGCATATATACCCACATCATTAATGAAGACGAAGTCTAGATGAGCATCCAAACGAGTAGGAAAATCTACTACGTTTTGGTGACCTAGTGACGTAAGGAAGCTACAGTCACATGAATTGAAATCACCACATACAACTGAAAGTGAATCACTGAAGGCAGTAACAGCGAACTCAGTGAATTCATCAGCGAAAACAGATAGTGCAGATGATGTGCAGTCTGGAGTCACGTAGATATTGGTAACATAAACATATTTGTATTTATTCAGATGTTTTGGACGACATCTTAGAGTTAGACAGTCGATAAAGTCATTTGAAAACTTAAAACACACAAATGAAGATCGACACCAGTTTATGTTTACAAACGTAGCTACACCACCACCACACCTCTTTTTATTGTTTGATCGATAACTTGTTGAAATAATCAGATGGCAGAAACAGGTAGCCCAGATATTCAAGCAGGCCGCCAGTGTTGAGAAGTTCATTGAGTAAATTAGCAAGTCATGATTATATATGCATACAGTTAATGCCATTTTCGGCCGAAGATAAATATATGTACAAATATGTGTTTAACTTCAAACATTAAGGAAATTTTATTACACAACGTTTTCTATGTTACAACGAGCCTAATTGACCTAACAGTGAATCGTACTGTCTATAATTTAGAAAAAAATTAGGATTAGAAATACAATACAACGATCCCATGCATGGTTATGAATTGGGATTAATGAAGTAAGTTAGCTCATCAAATGGAGGTAGTTAGGAAAATGCTTGAACTTTTAATCCGATTACTGGAACAAAGATCCAAAAGAATCATTTAAAGCATATCTGTTTTTAAGAATCCAAAGACTGATTGAAATAATGTACTGATAGTGGAAGAACTACATAGCAACAAATACATTTTTAATGGACTTAGCCACTTGAAGGAATGGAGTAAATTAAGCTTCAATAGATGATTTCGTTATCAAATTATTGTTTAACTTCAGACATCAAATCGAAAGTTTATTTACAAACAGATAAATATATCGAAATATATTTAAGAAGTGAATAATTAGTTCAGGGTGAATAATTTACATTGAAAATAAAATCAGACAAAAGAAAAAGACATTTCGATAAGAATTAACTAATATTAAATATCCTATTAAAAGTAGTAAATAAATAGGCTGTTACGTTACTCTATCAACTCCTAGTTACGATTATCAGATTGCCTTAATCTCATGCTCATGTTATTCCTGATTGTTATCAATGACTCTTGTTATTAAATGTATGTGCATTCTACGTGCTCACTGGGCCGTTAGAGAACTTTTTCTATAATTTTTTTCTCTTTCAGATAACCTCACATATCTTCAGGCTAAACGCAAACCTACGAAAAGATGAACGTAGCAGTTAAATGAATAAATAAGATTTTTATACCTGATATAATTTCCCACCGACTGTAGCTGTATCATCTGCACTAACACATAAATCGTATTCTATTAAGCGAAGATCGGCTGTCAAAATAAATAATGCATCTACAGCACGAGATTTTCCGACTACAAAGAAAGAAAATTATTGGATACAGTGTGTTTATAAAGGAATAAATATATCTAGGAGAAAAAAAAGCTCAATGAACTTGAGCTGATGAATCCTTAAAAGTGATTTTAAGATTACTTTACATGTCTTTTGTATTGAGATTTTTGACGAAATAACAGATTTATGATTATTTAATGGGGTTATATATGGAAGAGACACAAAATAACAAGTTTGTGTAGTACATAACATAGGTGTTATGCTTATAGAAGAGGAACCTTTCGAAAACCAACTAAGAATGTGTAAAGGCTTCTATAAGGTAAAGCAAATAGTCAAGAATGCAAGTGAATCTATCACAGTGAATATGTAGTACAGTTCACTGAAATCAAATAACAAAAAGAAAACATAACAGAACATATTAAGAATGTCAGATAGATGTGGTAAGAAATAATTCTTTGATGAATTACTTTGGATATTTATTTATAGGCTTATCAGTCGTAATCGCAAACATCAATAAGAAGATTCAAACAACCAATATAAGTGAATTAAAACTTCACCTCACTGTTCAAACCAATGGTTATCTGGACTCAGTAACTAAGTTGATAATGAGATTAAATTTGAAGCGGACGTCATTAGGCTCTAGTGCTGGATTGAACATCAATAGAATAAAACGCATATCCTATATTCCACGGCTAACCACTATCCATTTATGTTTATAATGCTTATGAATTAAGGTAATACCGATACAATCCACACAGAGTGAAGATATACCAATAAGAGACTGACTAATTGTAGTCCGAAATATCAATGGGAAAGCCCAAACAAACAAAAATATTTCGTAGGGGATCATCATATAGTCCTAAGTCAACTACACCCTTCATAGTTCGTCAATTACAAACAAAAATCTATTACTCGGCGTTGTAACTACGATTGGTGACCTAGTATTTTACTTATAAAGTGGCATGGACTAAAAAGGTACGTGTGATCAAACACCAAGCTTTCTAGTGTTTTATGTGACATATCGATCATACAGGAATGGGATTGACTGATTTACTGATAACAGTGTACTCAAGACCACAAAAAGCACCAAAGCCAGATTTGTCTACCTTCTTAGTTTTCTAACTTACGCAATTAGTGTTCGACAAATACTTTCTTCATGCCACCTCAAATTATATATGCCTGTTTAAGTGTATGTGCTAAAGCGGATAAATCGGTGACAAAGCAAAAAAGGTCACTCGAGACGCTTTAAAGAGATATTGTAATGGAAATTTTCTGTCAGAGATGCAATTGCAAAGTATTAAATTGGATGAAGACACCAAAAAACATATGGCTTTAAAGCTGTCAAGACAAATAGTCAAGTTCTTTTGATTTGCAAAATCAATTGCTTTTAAGTTGTATGCCAATTATCTCCCTAGTGGTTTAACCACATGAGATACCAATATCCTTTTTACGATACTCATAACTATATTTTTGATTACTACAGAATAGCTATAATTTGATTAGGCTTTGTAGTCAACTGGGACAAAACCGTATAAAACCTTTACTATTTTACTTAGCTACTTACATACCTTTTCAGTAATAAAACTTGAAATCCTTCAAAGAATTGATAAGGACATGGGTTATCAATCGAGGTTGTGAATTTGCTATTAATAAAACTAATTTAGTATTTCCATAAATTTTAATTTGTTAGAAACAAGTTTCATCCTTAAGCATCAATCCCAACACTTGTACTACACAGACCTATTATGCATTTAAACACGACTCTGCGCCAATTTACACTATTTACAAACATTTAACAATAGTTTAGTATGTCTAAATAAAATTAGAACTTAATATTCAACAAGTCATCCGAAAAGATATTGTAATAAAGACGTTTGACTTCTCCGTGAGTAAATAACAACTATGTCCTCCACAATGAATATCTCTGAGATAAATTTACTGAAGATCCAGCGAGAACTAATGATCTCTAGTTACTAATTTATTAATAAGACAGTAACTCAACTATAACATTGCATTAGGATTATGTAACGACATTGTAAACTGATATAAGCAACTAAAAACCGACCAAAGGTATCATACTCAAAAGGTTAAAGATTTAATTTCTTATAATGCAATAGTCATAGACTGTTGAGTAATGTCGAGTGAGGATGATATACGAAAGACGTGACAAAAAACCATAACTTCATAATGTCAATAATTATGTAGTAGTGTTTAACTATTTAGATTAACAGCCGGTAATCAATATTTTCTTCTTACAACCCTTGACTCCCTTTTTCTAGTACTTGACAGCTTATTTACATACTACTAGTACATGTGATCCAAAGGGAAATTCGAAGCCCTGAAGTATCTACTTTAGTACTTTTAATTCTTCTTTTAAATGACAATTGCTATTATGGTGATGTAGAATACAAAACTACAAACTGACATTAATAATTACTAAGTACTGAAATATGTCTAAAGGATCATAAAGCAAGTAATCATCTCCTTTAATCTGATTTAGAGTGTTTATATTCAAGTGAAATTACCAGTGTTTAATTTAGATCTTCCCACGAATTGAGTACGTGCTCAAAACCTTTCAGTGCATAGGATATTAAAAGTAGAATATTTTACACATTACATCACTTATACTGTTTTAGGTACCACCGAATACATTTAACAAAACATATACTTTCATTTGGTAGGAAAGTGAAAAAATATATGCACACTAAAGAACACAATATAATGAAAATAACTAATTTACACAAAGAAATCCTATGAGCAAGTTAACGTATAAAAGGTTCTTGTGAATTACCATACGGGTCACTACGATAGTCTGAAGATACATTATTTAGACGAAGTTGATTTGGAAGGAAACATACAGGAGGTCCAAAACGTGCAGCTCTAACACTATTACTTGTTGGACTAGATATATCTTGATTCAAATTTTGAAGTGATTGCCCACTTCTGTGACGTCGAGTATGCTTGCGTGAATGAAAAGAAGAACGAGATGCTGCACTAACTGGCAACTGTGTATATGTACAAACTTCAGGGCAGTGAACATGATTAGGATCAGAATAGCATGATTTAACAGATGATAAGTGACGATTAACTATTACCGCATTTATATTTTTCATAGGTGTTACGGCTTCAAAAGCACTACTGGCGGCACCTCGAGCAATAGATGTCACACTGCTACCACTAGATGGTTTCAATCTTGCTTCAGCTTTAACTCGACAAGGTTCTGGATAGGGAGGCAACCGAGAATTAGTAGTGTTATACAACGCGTTCGGTGGACAAGCACATAATCCTTCACTATTTAGAAACAACATAGTAGGCTGTTCAGAAACATGAAGATGACTACTGGATGATTCTGAAGAAAATGGATTTGAATGCGTGAAAAAGTGTGATGCATCAGACAATGCTGAATCACCAGAGAGAATCGACGAAGAATTTGAACTCCCCTCATCTAAACAAGGAAAAAGTTTAAATTTGGGTACATTTAAGAGATACATAGCATGGAGAATAGTTTTAGAGAGAGGTAATCACTGGTAATCCATAAAATATAGTCTAGAACAAATGACATTAGACAAAATGCATCTACTATTATTTCAGTAGAAGAGAAAATACAGTTTATTTTTTCAATACCGCAGAATAGTATCAAGTAAAATGTAAGGAGGAACTGGTAAGTCTTATCATCAAACCTATATATATATATATATATATATATATATATATATATATATATATATATATATATATATATATATATATATATATAGGTATTTTATTTAATTTTGTCAATCTTTTGAAAATACAAAAGCACTAGATACAAAAGTTTCAATGAAAAAGATTAAATTAATTATGACCCTTAACCCACCTGCATCAACGAAAAAATACAAACTGTGATAGAGCTTAATATACTTATTTACGAGTAACGTCAAAAACTTATTACTAACAACAGCTTTAGAAAACATATGATTCGACATAAAAAAATAATTCTCCCTTTTGAATCCGTATAAAACTTACAGACAGTATAGCATAGATATAACTTTGAAACAAATAAGTCTGCAGTACTTTCGTATTCCATATATAATAAGGGTTAAGGTTCATCGATTTTACTTGTAGCTACCCGTTGATAAAACACAACCTAGTAAATTAGGTAATTTGTTCGTAAGCAGCTGACGAGAAACCATGAAATATAATGAATTCATATCATTCTGCATCAACATTTGTTCTGGCTTTTTTTAAATTTATAAAGGGAACTAATTGCATGAAATTAGGTGATGATTGTGAAAGAAGTTAATTGAATGGAATTCTAAATCATATCTTATAATTCATTGAGAACGTGAACCTATCCAAGTTAGACTATCATTGAAAAACTGGAAACATTAAGAAGTCTTTTTGTTCTAGTATAGGACTCTTCAGAAGTGTGCATCCACGACCCGACACGTGGAAATCGAGCTGAGTTTCAATCTCACACGCGAACACTACCTCTGAACCCCTGAGCCGGTATCCAACATTGTTAATGTCTTATTTCAATCAATCTGCTACATGTCACGACCATCTTCCATTGTCTCCAGTGGGCAACTGCCTCACACTCAACGCAGTTTAGCTCCATCAGTCATGGCTTCTCGAGTTCGCGCGCGAGACCAGAGGTTTTGGGCTCGACTCACTCGTGTGAAGTCTTAGATCCCCACTGCTGAAAAGTCTCCCAGTTAAACGAAACGGCCGTCCAGTGCTTCCAGGTTTTCGATGGTGGTCTTACATCGGTTCATGAATTCAATCAAATTTACATATCTCTACAAACCTATACTGTCATATCTTATGATTGCACACTAAGTTATTTGTATCAAATGAAAACAGATGGTCCAATGAAATCACTTTTCAATCATACTTTTAGTTCTGTAGTTATAAAACATCATGCATAGAGGACTATTTGAACACATGAAAATATGATACGGATATACTCTTTACATGGATATGATATTCTGCATAAAGCAATGAGTGTGAAGTTTCCTTAGAAATTATTAAGACACTGGACGTAAGTGTCGCTGACTAACTGATCAGTCCCGGATACATTCCTTTGTAAATGACTTGCTTTATAAACTTTGTTATCTTCATGTGGATCCTCATTTCTAATCACATAAACAACTGACCCTGATATGATAGGGAAAATCAATATTGATTGGAGTACGGCTGACATACACAACTGATTTCATCTAGTTTCGTATGTCATTTAGCCATAATATAAGAGTCAATTACATAACTTAGCAAGATAGTTACATCTACTGGCAATAATAGTTCAATCTTACGATACAGTAAATTGTGCTTATAAATTTAGTTACCGATTAATTAGTGTCCAGTGCTACTCTGACTATTAGTGTAAATAAAACGTAAAAAGGTTGTTGTATTCATATTTGCTTTTGATTTATTTTTGGTGTAGAACAAATCCTCACTTATCGTCATTACGTTGTGTGATTCAGTTTCATTTGGCAAGTACCAACTTTCCGCGGATATATCAGACCTCTATCTTAAAGACTGATACGTTGAATCTATGTCAACATATATAATGATAGCAGATTGAAGTGAAAGACAGAATTCTAGGAATTCACCCTAATCCACAAACTGAATCTTTATTAAATAGAAGTTCTGTCCTTTGGTTGTCAACAGACCTTTACGGATGTGTATGCAAATGTTTAACGTGTACTTATTTCAAAGTAATGTAATATTCAACTTACCTTTTTCGGTCACTTATTGTTTCGATTTGCATGACATAAGATGAAGCGATTATACTGATTTATGAACAATAATAAATCTAAAAAGTTTAGAAATCCTACTGCTAATTTCAAGATTTTTCTGCATGATACAATAATGATTCACCTTTCGAGTTCTTAGAATTATTTCGTGATGGTAGATCGATCTGATAGATATATGTTCATGACGTTGTGAAGGTGGTCATTATTCTGGAAAACAGATAAGGGATAGTTTATTGCACTTCCCCATAAGCTGCAATTGATATGTCAAGTTACAGATCTCTTAAATTGTGCTTGTATACAACTGCTCTTTTATGGTGCCATGCTGTTACTGTTGTAATGAAGTCAAGGATTCAAGAAGGTTTAGCTCTTTTATTTATATTTTTCTTGTCGACTGAAACAACAGAAAACTAGATTCATAGTTAATGAGGACGCTGTTGATAAGCTAATTACTCGCTACACCATATACCTAAAATCGTCGGTTTGATTATTGGAAAAATTGTAGATTTTCGTTTGTACAAAAATACCTCTAGCAATTAACCTAGAATAGGCTATTGTCTATGTGACAACTGAAGTGGATACATATCAACTTGTTATGAATTTACTAGCTTTAACTAAATTTTAATACTGTGTATGTTCTGGAAGTAACTTATCATTGCTAAACAGATGAAACAGTGACTTTGATATGTTTTAATCCTATTGAATCAAAAAGAACCACGCCATTGAAGAATATCACTATTTCGATATCGTAAGCAACTCCACCTGTAGCTCTTCTAGAGCTACTGCCGGTCCCAAGCCCGGGTAAAAGAAGAGGGTTGGGCATGGGGTCAGCAACCCCATCTCGTACAAAACAACCTTGCTAAAAAACCGCTAATCAGAATAAACAAATTAAACCATTTAAACTCTTCCCCCGGAGTTGAAGGAAGAATTATGACGCCTCATGATTAAAGCTGAGATTCTTCAGAAGTCAAGAGGCCGATGCCCCTTCTAAAAACCAGGATTGCTCAGGATATAGTTCGATGGGGAATGCTGGTGAGCGGCCTATGCTTCTCCATGAGGGGTAACAGGAGTAAGTAAGTAATATCGCATGGATACACGTTTTTGGTCATTTTTTAAAAAGTGTTGAAGAAGTAATAGTGATTGCAGGATTTAGTTTTACAAACTATTTTTCTGTATACTTCACTAGATAACCTTTATGCTGGCTTCCCCAAGAATTATAAAACTGATCAAAAGGAGAAATCTGACAACACCAACAAAAGATCCTACTGTTGAGATATTCAGGTCGTGAATGATCCCTTGTACAACTGGATTAAAAACACTGCTCTGTCACTGAATAGTAATCAGTAGTAAAAGGTTCCAGAGCTGACAGAATTCAATCAATCACATTTGTAACGTTATCCAATTAGGCTCAATGATTTGCTGATCTTAATTATCTGTAAAATATTAGACAATTCATTAATTAACAGGACTGTATATTTTACCGAACTCTGAATAACAAAGATAAAAGATAAGTAAATAATTCCAAATATCAATTCCAAAAATACTAATAATTTCAAGATTTCAATAAAGTATTTGAACAATTTCAAAACCATATGGTTAACTATTCAGATATGAATACCTTCTTTTTTCAACGTGATTTTATCCATCTTAAGAGCAACTATACAAATAAATAAATTATAAAGGAAAAAATCGAAAAGCTGCCTATGTAGGGAAATATGACGCTAAACTTAACAAATTAATTAGGCTTAAGGCATCATATACTCAACCTCAAAGGAAATGGAGGTTAAATCAATATACTGGCGAGGTTGAAGAGGTAAAAGTGGACAGACATTTACATACTTTAAACTGTGAAATTTCTCATAAAATCATCCATAGAAAAATGCAGTGAAAGGTTGTTTATAAAAATGGTCACATATAACTTACTAATACAACAGTCAGTAGTTTCCTTGAGAGGAGTCATGAAAGCTGTGAATCCTAGATGAGGGCATTGAGGTGCAAAACCTGCAATTGGTGCAGTTTGACAAGAATTCGAAGTTGCTCTAGACGCACCAGATGCGGAACCAGACGACTGACTACGGATAGTATAAGGATGTTTCATAGAACTAGACTGGGGAATGTGGCATGGAATATTGATAGAATTGCTAGAGGAGTTACCGCTAAATCCAGTTGACTCAGTTGCACTTCTCTCAGGTTGTGGTCTAGTTAGATGATACTCTTCTAAACCAGATGATCTATGATATCTCGAAGTACGATTCACAACGTGAGGTCGAGTGTGTGTACGAACAGTGATCGGACCACCATAAGCAGTAACAGGGAAAACATGTGTAGTCCCATGATTGCTGCTCACAGCTACCCACCGAGAATCATGAGAGAAAGTAGCATCCACAATCTAAATATGTAGGAATCAAATGAAATAATAAATTTATTGAGTAAATGTATTACTCTGGAATTTTTTTTCTACGCAACATAAATGCTAGTAGTGCTAGTGCAAAAAAGTATGCATATTACAATACTTCTATGATAGAAGATGAATTCTTATATCTAACAGACACGCACGCACTAGACAATATTTAAGAGGTACTTTAGCTAAGTGTAAAAATATCAAATTGGAAATACTTTGTGTATAATAAAATTCTGCAACAAGACGCTCTATGTTGTGACAGTATAAACTTAAACATATTTATTTAAAAGCTAAGTTCCGAAGTCAACCTACCATCAGTTCGTATCGCAAAATAATTGTTTAGAGAGCCAACAGGAAAAAGCCTAAATGTCTAGGTTTTCAGTAAGATGATAATAACATGAAGTTAATGTAAAATGTTTAATGCAAGGATCTAATCGAAAACAAAATTGTTCTAAATTTACAATGTGGGAATATTTCAAATATGCAAGAAAGTTCGAAATGGTGTATGATAACATGCCTACTACATCTGAATTCGAGGAAAGATGACTAAATAAATTTCCACTGAAATAAAAGTTTTTTCATAGTGTAGAGAAGATAGGACACTCAGTTTATTTGAGGAAATGGTTTTAAAAAAACCGATGTTCAGTACATGAACAACAAAAACAATGATACTGAAGTGCATTGTCTATTGATACTATCGTATAATTAGATTACAACAATGGATAACGACTTCTACAGGAAGGTACAATGACAAAAATATAATATAACATGAATGGTATAAGCTATAATTAGTAGAATAAATAGGAAAATATATTTTGGTAAAGCAAAATGTCGAAAGCACGTAAAAAAAAACTTAGTGGTTTATTACAAAGAAAAAAGTATCACCTTTTAGTGGCCCACTAATCTGACTCCAATTCGTTATATATTATGAACATATTTAACTCCGTGTATTACGTAGGTTAACCCCGTTTGTGCGATGGTGGTAATAAGAGGCCAACTGCGGGTTGGGTTGGATAAATTTATTTCAAGCACTCGTTTATCTCAACAGACATTCAGAATGAAAAGTAGGAAATCAAAGAGAAGAGGAGGAGGCGAACCCATTTGATAAAACGTGATTATTTGTAACCAGATAAAAATGAGCTGTAGACATGTGATGAATGGGATAAGTGATACACATACAAACGCTCATATAAAACAGAGAATAACTAACATGGTCAAAATGCGACTCAAGAAGAATGAATAAACTGGTTTGTCCGGAAGCTAAAATAATTCATGTGGGCTTGGGGTAAGGCTTAACACTACAACCTACTTCTAATTTCGTCATTAAATTAAAGTTTTATCATTCTAGAAATGTAAAATATGTAGAAATACAGATAAACTAACATAATAAATGAGTAAACAATTTTGGTGGAGTTTTGTTCTCTGAGCTGGATGGTTTGGTCGTGGAGCTTTCATCGTTCTTCTGAACGACATCATCAGCACAAACTTCAGATAGAAGATATATATATATATATAGAAGACTTCTATCTGAAGTTTGTGCTGATGATGTCGTTCAGAAGAACGATGAAAGCTCCACGACCAAACCATCCAGCTCAGAGAACAAAACTCCACCAAAATCATCCACCTGAGCTACAAATCTTCTCCACCATGAGTAAACAATCCTATTTCAGCCTAGTCGATTCTTCTTGAAATTACAGACCTTAATACTAACAAGTCGATTAGACCGATCATATTAATAGACCTTACAGTATATGCAGTTCGATCAAAAAACTATCGCCCACTGCATAAGCATAGAGGTTGGATGTAACTCGAATATTCTGAAATAAGACGAAGAATATGAAGAGAAAAACTGTTATTACTGCTGTATAATGATAGAAAGTAGCATAAAAGCAGAGGTTCGCGAAAAACCAGTACAAAAAATGTTGGTAAAGTGAACACAACAAGGGGAATTACGACCAGCGTACACCAAAACTACCAAACAACAAGAAATCTCGAGATGGTGAAGATTTGTAGCTCAGGTGGATGATTTTGGTGGAGTTTTGTTCTCTGAGCAGAGAACAAAACTCCACCAAAACAAGAAATCTCATCTTAAGTAAGAAATAACTTCAGGTAAAACCATCTTTAAACGTTAGTTATTTTAAAAAATATGGTTGCAATACTAAATATCATAGGGAAATCCTATTTCGACTTAGCTTATATTAGTATTCTTCTTTGTGAATCACGTAACTGTACTATGACCACTAAAATGAGTAATCATTCCTAGAGTAATCGACCAGGAATAGAAACACTTAAACCTCAGGAAGAACCTTGTAGTTTCACCAGAAGAACTAACGATAAGTTCACATGGATTAGTCAAGTCCAAATGCAAATTCTCATGCTCCTTAGTTATAATGCTGAGCTACCGGGTCAGTTGTTAAAAGTATCACTAATTACGTCTGAGTCACAACTCATATTATTTAAGAATAAGCTCGCAAGGTAAATGTTGGGACGGCTTCGAGAAGCATGACGAAGCCTTCAGAGGCTGTAAAGAAGCTAGAGAGATTCTAACCAATCAGAATGTGACAGAACTTTCTAGAATGCTGACGTGGCATGATACGATTCGACGGTAGCACAACTTGCCTCCTTGTGGATCGGCTGAATCACAATGATGTTGTATTCAACGCTAATAACTATAAATAACCATGTTTTTATGTACTTTTTTATTCTTACAAACTGTTCACTTCCCCTGCTTCTTCTGCCATCTGATTTGAGAATTTGAGGTTCTACACGTTCGAGTGCCGTTAGTCGTATATCGTATTCCACCGTAATCAAGTAGAGAACGTAACAGTAAATCAATCCAAAAACTTCAACAGGCAAATGACCAAGACACTTCAGGCATACAGCTGAGTATTTATTTATTTATTTGAACACATAAATATTGGTACAAGAGGGCACCAAATACATATGCACCACACAAACACAATGAGAATTTGAAGAGAAGAAGGAAAAAAAGTAAGGAGCGTAAAAAAACAATAACGTACAGATTAGTGTAAGGTAGTGTAATAATAATAATAATAATAATAATAATAATAATAATAATAATAATAATGGGGGAGACGGAAAGGTACAACCAGAAGAAATCTTTCAGTTAAGGAAGATACAACCACTTTTATATGAAGAATGTAAAAGAAGGTTACAGCAGGATCGCCACTGGCTTCTATTCTGAGCCATATCTGATAACGTCTCTAGCCGCTGTGTCACAGCATCTCTCGGACCCCAACCAGGGAGTCGTGAAGGACCAACAGAAGCCAGTCCTTTGCAGCTTTCTTTCATACCCCGATACCATGTCATACACTGACCACCTCTCCGCTTTTTCCAACCAGTCCCAGAGTCGGCAAATAATGCACGACGTGGAATTCTCTGGGACGACACTCGTAGAACATGTCCAAGCCACCGAAGTCGGTGTTTCAAGATGGTAACATCAATTGAATTATCATCTCTGTGCCCGAACACACGATGCCGAGCCTCTGCATTACTGACATGGTGTTGCCACTGAATGTCGGCAATCCTTCGGAGACAGCGATGATCGAACACAGAGAGTCGTCTAACGTCCTCAACTCGGAGAGGCCAGGTTTCACAAGCATAGAGCAAAACTGCTCTCACTGACGCGTTGTAGATCCGACCTTTTACAGCCAGACTAACATCACGAAGGCGCCAAAGGTGGCCCAGATTGGCATAAGCCGCTCTGGCTTTCACTATACGTGCATTGATCTCATCACTCACGCCACCACCAGCACTTATGCAGCTACCCAGATGATACACGAACTTCTCGACTACTTCTATCTGCTCACCATCCAGGGTGAGTACAGGATTAGAATACTGCCAGTCTTGTAGAAGTACTTTGCACTTCGAAGGTGCAAAGCACATACCATAAAGCTGAGTAACAAACATTCATACATCTATGAACGGTAAAAAGCAAAGGAATTATTCATCTATCAAAAGATAGCTTGTAATAATAATTCATATAAAAGGATCACAAAAATCTGTTTGAAAAATACTCAGACAGTACAGACGCACATATTTATCGTTAGTTGATTCGTCCAAGCAAATTATATTTAAGAAATCATCACTACAAACACATAAGCCCAAAGAAAGTCCGACAACAATATGGTGTATTTTCTTATTTAATAAACCTCCTCATACGAACAACTTAAAATGTGAAATAAATTGTTACGACATTACATCCGAATCATTAGGAATAACCTTAACTGTATAGTGCGTTAATGACCGATTAACTCCGACGATTTCCAGAAAAGACCACTAAACAAAATACAGTATTATGGACGAATGCTACCAGAATCCAGTTACATGATAAGTGATGTCATTTAATTAGAAAACAAGAGGCATTTCTAAAGTTATTAGATCATAATCAACACAGAGCCTAGCCCGAGTATGCTTTAGTATAAGCTGTTATACTACATGAGCAAACAGAGATGAAATAAACATAATAACTAGAAAAGAATTCAGAAAAGCTGTAGTAGCACTGCTAGTAGAAAGGACCAAATATTGAGAAAATGATCGGAGAAGGGATAAAAAGGTATATCTGAAGAAATACTGAAACAATGTGAAATATTAGCACGTATCGTTTACTTGTCTAGTTTTGAAAGCCTCCATTCAACATAAGATTTAACAATGAATGCAATTTTGATGAAAATTCTAACAGCTTAAATAGTTAAAACACATTTAGATGAATTGTGCTACATACATATGTTTACACACTAATGAAAGGTTAAACACCACAATGAGAAACTGTGAATAAAAATGAGATTTAAGGAATTAAATTAATTTGATGAATAAAATCTTAAAAAAATAAGTATCTATGACATTTGATTTAAAAAAAAACAAGCGTGTTTACACTTGTACAAAGATCATTTACATATATCAGTCTTGCTCAACAAACGAACAATAAAATGTTGGTCATAATACACTCTAAAAATAGGTTTTGCACT